GAGAGAGAGAGAGAAAGCGCGACGCGTGTTCGGAGTCACGCCAAAGTCGGCAAGCGTTGCGAGTTCGATCTATGTAGATCCTATCCGTACAAAATCCGTTATTTTTTTGATAAATGAAAGAGATGAGACTTTCGCGTGCCGATTAAGTGCGTGCAGGAACGAGCGAGCGAGAGAGAAAGAGAGAGAGAGAAGAAAGAAAGATCTAACGCGCGGAAGATCCATCCCATCCCTGCCCCGCCGACAGATCAAACAAATATATATGTAGAACCGGACACATATTTGTAAAGGTATACTCTGTATGTCTCTCAGTGAATACAATAATCTTGGGGACTATAGTGCTTTCTTCTTTGTCACTTCCGTCTCGTCGACCACATCGTAGGGTAGGTACTTGATACGGCGTGGAGAAAACGGACGGAGGATTCTCTTCATCACTTGAAAATTTATTTACACGCGCTACACACTATATAGAATGCAAGATATGAACCTTTCGCACACCTCGCCGTTCGCTCGGCAGCGACCAGGGTGTCGGTATCACTGAAAATAATTGCACGTTGCCGTACGGGAAAAGACACGGTCACGGATGGGTGAACGGCGTCCGTGAGATCGAGCAACAGCCAATTAACAAAACAGAATGCAGTTCTTACAACAACAATCAATTATCATATACAACAATAATAACCAATTATAATGACACTGACAATCACACGATATTTTTCCGACGTGTATCGAGACGAACGTTCGTACGAATGTTTCGTATTTAGGGCCGATCCGACGAACGTTCGTAATCGAAGACGAGTTTCCCTCGACATTGCACAAATCTCTATGAGAAAGAAAAATACGCTACACCAGTCGCGAATCTAAATAAATCGTGAGGAACCCTAGGCCCATTATTTACGCAGAGGGTGTGCGAGCATTCGCGTTTTACTATTCAGCATAATTAGTTACTCGAATCAAAAACGCACTTCAATTCGAGTTTCAAACTCGTTATCGTTATCCTTAATGACGCTACAATTCGAATCGAGCCTTGGCTTTCTGGAAAAAAATTGTTCTACATGAACCTCAGCCTCTTCATCATTTCATTAATTGCAATTTAAATAAGAAAGGCTCGTAAATTCTTTACCTTCTATTTCTATTTTGGAGAATCGAACATTTCTTTTTTTTATTCAGTTATTCGAAAATTTTGTCCTCCAAGGGAGAGTATAAAATAATTTTCTCAGGAAATGTTCGAATACTCGCACACTAATTTACGCCGTCGCAGAGTGGCAGAGTGTTGTACGCGTAGTCTAACATCTGGACATTTGTACTTGACATATTATCGCGCGTATGACAAAATATTACTACGTAGGCATGACTCACACTGTATCAGACTACTATATATTACGGTATTATATATATGTATATATATGTATACGTATATATATATATATGTTACGAGCTCTTTATCAAGTTTCACGTTAGAGAATAATATTATTCACACGCGTCATTTCGTAAATGCCTTTACAGTCACTCCGTCGGATACTTTTGAATTTCAAATCATCTGGAAAGTCGCATTGTATTGTAAAATATTTAGGCGACGATACATTAGAGATCAAGATTGTTTACAGTGAAAGTCAGGCCGTATTCTTCACGCGTATATTATTTGGTCGGGTTTAATACAATGTATTCTACATGTAGGATGGGCCATGTAAGATATTACAAGCTATTTTCTTGGAATTTATTCGAGATAGGGAAAAAATTCGTTCTATCTTCTTCTTTCTATATTCATATTTAAAAAAAGAATGTAATTGTACATGCAAAACATATATTTTTTTAAAATAATTATATATTTTCCCCACATTAAAGTATCAAAGTATCAAGGTAAAGTAATTGAAAAATTAATATTTTATGAGATATTTTATATAAAATATCAAAATATATCTGACTGAATAAATAAAGTTAGTCCTCTTTCCGCAGCAATGTCACACGAAAGATTCCAAGGAATCTTAAAAGAATTCAGAAAAAGTTGTGTCGCTATCTCGAATAGATTCCAAGAAAATAGCTGATACCACTTTACGTGGCCCATCCTGTAGAGCGCAGGTATCCCAGAGCTGGAATTTGATTGCATTTCAGGTCGATTTTGTTGTCGACCCATCGTCGTCCCTATCTTGTCATTCGTTTCTTACGAAAGTAACGAACCGCCTAATGTGTGACGCTTTATCTCAAGAATGTTCGTATTATATATAATTATATTTATTACATATTATAAATATGTATTATTACTATTTTATAATTATTATTATTAATATAGTATGTGAGCGTCGACAATGAAATCGGCCCAAAATACGTGCCTAATTTCCTAGCTCTGTAAACTTTATATTAATCTTATCGTTCGATAATAATGACATTGATGACGATGCGCCGAGTCGACGATAATCGGCTCTCATTCATACCGTTGAATTCTCTGGAGACTCGTGCGCTTTGGTAGTAACGTTAGTAGTCGATATCTCAGGTACTTACGTTAAAACAGTTCACAGTAATAGCGACGCGAGTGCTCGTTTGCATATACATATATATAATATATATATATATATATATATATATATATATATATATATATATTCAATCGATGACGAGAAGACGTTACAAGCCCAATTGAACTCGAAATAGATCCGGGAAAAAGGATACCACGATTTTTCAGAGAAACTCGATAAATTTTTCCCTTCTTTACGACTTGCGATTATTATCGCTTATCGCGATTGTATATAGAAAAATATGGTTTAAGGGCATTTAAATCCAGATTTCAAATGAAGATTCTATTAAACGATATCCTGGCCATTCTCGACCTGGCAACCGCGGTTGTCCTTTTCCCTTTGGTCGTCCTCGTCTCGATGAGCTTCTTTCTTCTTGCCATCGTCTTCAGTGTTTCCCGAATTTTCACTCTTATTCGCCGAATTCGAGGAATGCGACTTGTTCAACAGAGAGCTAAATTCGCCGAACTTCAAAATTTGTTCCAATGCAGATGGTTCCACATTAAGCTGAAACGTGTACACGATAGCTAGTATCTGACCAGATCATGAGAAAGAAGCTCAGTTACATTACAGCCGTCATAAAAAAGCGATGCCTGAGGGAAAAATTATGATTTCGAAGCGATATAAGAAATAAGATGCGATATTTTAAACGTGACACGAGCATACGCTTTTATGCGACGGACTGCGATTTTAGATTCTCCAATCACTTTTGCGCTACCTTACGTGGTCTGCCGCGTTTCGGCCTCGTCGGGAACGAGGAGAGTAATTGCTCTTTCCTCTTCGGCCATTGCAGGTGCGCGTCCAAATGTTGCTTCAACTTGTCTTGCCTGGCGAACATTCGCGGGCAGATACTGCAGGCGAACGGTCTTTCGCCGGTGTGCACCCTTCTATGCCTCGCCAAGTGCGACGCTCTTGTAAATGCCAGGGTGCAAAGATCGCAAGAGAAAGGCTTATGCTGCGCTCTTTCGGACTTGATAAGCGTTCTCGTCTCCCTCCCTTCGTTCCCTTCCTTCGTTTTTTTCATAACGTCATACTTCCTCTTCACTCCTACCTTCGGTGATTCGTCTTTTAAAGTTTCCTATAAATCAGTGAGTAGAAACTGTATGTATCGTTCCGAAAGCATTGTCCTTTGCAGGAGCGACGAATCTTATCTCCACCCTTCTGGTATGACGTCTAACTCGCTTACCTGCATGTCCGATGCGATATCCGCGGATTCGTCATTGAGACTCGTCTCGCACTTGATGACTCTCGAGGAATCCTCGCAGCTCGATTCTCGCGAAGTGTCTTTCGACTTTGATTCCTGTGGGTCGCTGTTTCGCGTTACGCGGCCTACGGATACCCTTTTCTGACCTTTGAATCTAGTCTCCCGTTTGTACATCGGAGGCGGCATACGTTTCTGAAAATTATTATTATTATTATTATTATTATTATATACATAGAGATGATTGGGAACATCGAGCAAATCTCGAGTTTCCGACCTATAATTATTCTCTACCTTGATTTTAATTGATTAGAGATTGATAGATTTGCGAGTAGTAAAGGATTATGAGATGAGAACTGTAATTCGTTTTAAATAAATAATCTTTTCTTATTGGTCTCTAATCAGCAGGACTTCTTGCACAATATCTCAATCGTGACTGAGTAATGCGAACGCTCTTGATATAGACCCTTTCAAAACAAGTCAAAGCGCATGTCACTCGAGCTTACAATTTGCGTTTCCGTGGATTGCGGGAGTTCGTCGAAACTGTCCTCGTGTCCGTCGATCACCATCGGATCGTCCTCCACTTCGATATCATCCACTTTGTGGTCGTCCATCGAATCGACACTCGGATGCTTCGGCAGGAAATGAATCACCGACGGCTCCTTGATGTACTCGGTAGTGTGCACTCTGTTCTCGATGTGACACCGTGGCATTCGCGTCTCGACTCTGGTGTAGAGATTGCGATCGCTCTCCTGATTCTTCTGCTCCCCGGAGAGGCCGCGTACCTCCAGGTCGGTGGCAGTTTTTATCAGCGAGGGAAGATGCTCCTCCGCCACATCGATGGAGCCTCTGTACATGAAGTCCAGGAGGCATTCCATTTCCTCGACGGCGACTCCTAAGCGATGAAAATCATATCGGATAAAATAATAAAAATCATAATAATAATAACAAAAAATACTAACTAAAAAACACTAAATAATAATAAAATATACTCGTCAAAAGTGTTACAAATTTTTTCCCAAATAAAGATAACGACCAAGTATGTTGTACTTCGTCGTTGCCGTTGTGCTGAATACCTTTTAAAATGAGAATAGGTTGTTCTCCGTAGTGCTCCTTAAAGACTCTTTCGAAATAAGGACTACACGCCGCTAGCACCAGCCTGTGGGCCCTCAGCATGCCGCCCTGACAAGCCAAAGTTGCGTCCGTCAAGGATCCGCTCTTATAAAGAGTCTCAAATAAACCCGACAAATTCGCCAGGTGATTGTTCCATGTAAGGTTGAACGTTTTCTCGCCCATCTTTATCGAGAATTATCGATCTAGAACACAAAGATTTTATTATATTCTCGCGATGCCGTAGTAGGACAAATTAATTTAACAAAAGAGTAGAGTAGCTTTTTTATGTACGTGGATGTTTTTTTTTTTCCTAGTCGAGCACGTTAAACCAATAATTAAATTAATAATTAAATGCACGCGTACAATGTTTGCGTGCATCGGGAAATATTCCGACAAAGTTTTAGAACGCAAATTACGCTCTTCGATAATCTCAAGTTTTCAACTTTAATTAATTATATCCCACGACAGATCTCGCGTCTCTTTTAAATTCGCATTCATTACAGTGCGCCATGTTTATTTATATACTGCTTCGCGTTATATTTCATAAATAACTAATTTTCTAAAAATCTCCAGACACTCTTAAAAATAAAATGTAGAAATATGATTGTGAAAATGTTTTAAACGGCACGTTTCGATCCATGACAGATATTTTTCATTGTTGTTTCATGATAAAAAAAGAAGAGCAAATTATTATTGTAATTGTTTATTTGCTAAAATGAAAATAGTTACACGGGAATATGTGTGTTTTATTTTAAAACTCTGTTTTAAAACGATAATTTAATATTTCTGGAGTATTTTACGCAACGCTAATCGACTCGCCGGGGAAAACGATTGCCCGTGGTTTATGCGCGTCGCGGACGCGCGGAACGCGAAGGATTCGTCAAGGATGCGCAAAACCGAGAGATTCGTACAACTACGTAAAATTACGCGTCAAAATTATCCCTGATACCAGTGGCGATCGAGATTTTCGATCGAGTGTAACTTGTAACGCAGGAAACTTTCCGTACTATTATAGCGGACAATTATTAGTCACGTACACACACACACACACACGCGCGCGCGCGCGCGCGCGGCACGCATACACGTACACACGTACACGCGCGCGGAATGCTAATATCGTTCTCCGCGATATATCCGTGATCGTTGCATCATAAGTGAAATAATCGCGTCGTGAATAGAACCGCGCGGCGGGGCGGCGCGGTTTCTCGGCGCGCTTTTATAATCAGCACATTCCGCACAATTATTGCAATCCCGCGCACGGCGATGTGCCACCGACGCGTACGCGCCGTTTCCGCCGTAATCGACCGCGCGTCGCCAAACAGTCGCGTCGTCCCGTATCGAATATCGGCCGGTGGCCTCGCGACGTCGTTGGATCTCGCGCTCGAGATGCAACTCGCACTCTTTCGCGGACTCACCTCCGGACGGAATCCGCTCCTCTTTCTCGGTACCGCTCGCGTTCGCGTCGAGACGAGACCGATTCGAGAATCCACACCGATTCGGAATTTTTCCTGCGAGCGTGCTCCTCCTCCCCCTCCCCCCCTCTCGCCTCACGCGTCCGATCGCCTATCGCCTATCACGTCGCGGGTTCACGTGTGCGGACGGACGTCGTCGTGTTTCGAGCCTCGAGCCATCGTTGTTGATAAACTCGCGATGATGTATGAAACTCGCGCGCGCGCGAACAAGAGATCTCGGAGGAGAGGTTCTCCAGGAGAGGCCCCTCGCGCGCGGTTCTCCCGCGTTCGTTTCGCCGTGTGCGTACGCGTGTGCCGTGCGCGTGTGTATGTGTGTATGTCGGGTAGGCTAACAACAACGGGTAGTCATGCGCAGACGTGAACCCTCGCCTCGTTGCCTCGATCCATAATTTTGTTGGTGGACCCCCCCACGCATTTCCAAGGGATTCCTGTTCCCCGGTGCGGGAACGGGCTAAACGCGCCCTTTTTTCCCCCATCTTTTCCCGCGTCCGTCGGGCAACGCGAAACTGGAAGAAGATTCCTTGCGAATGCAAAACGCGGACGCGAGCCCCCCGCCGAAATCGATCGGCGATGATTACCAGAGGGCCAAGATCCGAACGAGTCCGAGGCCTGGGGACGCTCGGCCGAGTGTCAAGGAGGATTAGAGAGGACTGACGCTTATGACCAAACTCGATTCTCAGTCAGTCATCGAGATAAGATAAAATAAGCTCGTCGTTAGGAGGAAATGTAAAACGGATGGGAGAACGTTGTAGGAAGAGATTCGCGA